TATTAGAATTACAATTTTCGAATTAAGTAAATTTTCTTGTAAAATGATATTTAAATACATTCGTAAGGAAATTGTATAAGAATATATTATGTTTTATGAAATCATTATTCTAGAAGTACATTATAAAACCGAGAAATTAATATAATATAATATTAATTTTAATTAAAAATAAAGATATATTGTAGTTTTGAAAGAGAAATGATAAAAATATGTTTAATTTGATATTGTTTGATATTTCACATCTCGTCTATGATTAAGTATAAGAGTAAGTATAGACAAAAAGAGTAAATAGTAGGAGAAGGATAGAGATAAAGTAAAAATTGGGAAATCAGTGTCATCTTTTGAGTTCTGAAGATATCTTTCCAAAAGTAGAGTAAGATAAAGTAAGAATCTTCATTATCAAAGTCATCATTTTAAAAATATTCAAAAGATAACGTAGATTTTCAATTGTTACTCTACTTTACCGCACTTTCAAAAGATCAATTTTTGGCGTTCGAGAGATGGCGTTGATGGTCAATTCTTATCATATCTGTCAAATTAGATCTATAAAATAATCAATTATTTAAAACTAGCGGGATAATTCTTTTCAATTTTATTTTATTCAAATTATCCTTAATAATTTTATCCTCTAAAAATATTAAATTATCAATATATCAAATAATATATATATATATTATTAAAAGCTTGATATTTTTAGATTGTCAAGAAACGTGATTATTAAATTATAATAATAAATTTAAAGTTAACCTCATAAAGAAATTCCTCAAGATACTTTTTGCTTTTTCTATTTATTATATTAATTAATAAATTTATTTAATAAATATTATTATTTATAATACGATATCAAGAAATCGCGAATATTTTATTCAATAATCAATTTTCATTATTACAAATTTACGATATATCATCATAATTTTTGTTCCTTCGACAATATTGCTTGTAAAAAAAATTATTTCTCTGTATCAAATAATAAATTACTAAAAATCTATTTGCCAAACAGCATATAAACATGTATTGTTCGATTTAGCTCTTATTATTAATACTTTAATTAATTATTTCGCATTATTTACGAACAAAGAATGAAATCAATATCAAAATCGATTATATTTTTGATAGTCAAGTTTGAATCTCACTCATAAAATTAGTCTATTGTTCTCTTATATCTGATCCATATATTGTTTATTTACTGTTACAGATGAAATATAATCACGAATATTATAAATAACATGTTTAGCACATCAAGTTAAATTAAAAATGAGATTGAAGAATCAATAGGTATAAAATAAATTGATAAAAAAACTTATAAATTAAAAAGTATACGTATATTTTTTTATTATTATACAAAAGTGAAAAAAATTACAAAAAATAATATATTAATTGACAATTTTATATTACTTATTATCTATCTATTATAATCATTCAAGATAATAATTTGTTTTGTCTGATAATGCATTCTTCAAAGTTTCATATTCTTTTCGTTTAACATCAACTAAAGCTTTAGCTTGTAGCAAATTTGGTGGCAAGTCTTTATATTGATTAAGATAATGATTAAGTTCCGCTAATTCACCAGACATTTCTAAATACCTGTGATATTTATTTAATATTTTTGTAGGGTAAAGATCTTCAACTTGCATATCTATTAAATCAGTTTCTAATTTTTCTACAGTTTGCTGATATTCTTTTAATTTTGTAGACAATGAAGCATGATTACAATAAATATCTTCTTGTTCTTTCTGAGATTTCTCAATAAAGTTTTCAAGAGAATTTACAGCCTCTTGTAAATAATTGAGTTTTTTTGAAAAACTGGAATATTTTCTGAATAGGTCATCATATAATAGTGCCAACTGTTTCTCCTCATGCTGTTTTTTCTTTTCTTCTATTTTCTTTCTTTCGTTCACTATATTCAATGCAACATCATTAAAATCACTCAATTTTTCATTTCTTAATACTAAAGCTATTTTTTGCAATCCTTCCTTGATGTCATTAGGCAAAGATTGTGGTTCCAAATTTAATTTATTCAATAATGGTAATATTTGTTTTCCAAAAGCTATATTTTCTTCATTTGTTTCTAATATTCCTTTTTGCAAAAAATTTAATAATGATTGTTCCTCTACAGAAATAGTTTCTTCGCGATATCTTGTACTCGATGCAGTACTTAAAATAGAATCAGTTTGTAAAGACGATTCCACCTATTTTTTAAAATTTATTTTTAATTATTACATAATTTTATAACATTTTATTTTTAAATAACATTTTATCATAAGAAATATTACCTCACTGTTATATTCCATGTCAATTCTAGAATTCTACACTTCATCAAAAAATCGTTACAAATCACTTTTAACTGTTCCTAAATGCATAAATTTTTATTAATTGAAAGATATGTTTCTTGATTAATGAATTTAATTTATATAATATATTTATATTCAATATATACATTAAATTCATTACATTTTATAATAATATTTTATAAATAGAACTCTAAAACTTAAAAATTATTTACAAATTTAGGATATGTTTTCACGCAGATGATGAGCGACCTATTGAGATAAAATTTTTATACTAACTATATATTTATTGATCGGAAATGTACATATGCATTGAATTATTAGCACATTTGATGATAACTCATTTATACAAGTTAATGGTACAATGCATTTATAAATCGTTATTTAAACGTCAATTTTTATCGCTTTTACGCAATGAAAATTCGTATTTATCTAGATTGAATTTCAATAACGGCTGTCTAGAAATATATAATTATACATAAAACGCTGTTTTTTGTACGCTTTCATGTACAGTTTTCATTGGCAGTTATTTGTTTTCGGTAACGATAAAATTCGTAAAATAGTAAATGAATAAATCTTATAAAAATAAAAACTTATGTAAGTAAATAATATTTGTGTTTCTTTGCTATATGATTCTGTATAGTAGTGTTAAAACGAATATTTAACCAATAACATTTTTAAATTTATCATCGAAGAAAGTGGTTAGAAACAGCAACGATGAGCAACGATCAAGCAAACGAATTGTCTGAAACAGTTGAGGTAAAATCTTAAAATAATACTTTTATTTTTTATTTATCTTGAAAATTTATATTTGAATTCTCTATAAATTTGAAATTTCTTCAAATTTTAATACTAATATTTTATGTCATTATTATATTATTTAATTATATTATATATATTGCCATAGCTAAATAAAAATTTTATTAATATAGTGATTTAAAACAATATTCGTATGACAATTATAAAAAAATAATTTTTGTTTTAGTTATCTTCCAATGACATTGAGAAAATAGAAGAAGCAAAATTAAGAGCAAAATTTCCAAATACTGGACGTCCAATTAGTGGACATTCAGCATTCCTTCAAAAAAGGCTAGCTAAAGGGGTAAAAATATTATTTATTATAAATTTATTATTTAAATATCTATGATCTAATATTTGATTAAATTTTCTAAAAATAATAATAATTTTATATTATATTATTTATAATATATATTATAATATAATATTTTATATTAATATATATATATATAAAATAAGAGATAATAAAAATTTTATAATGTATATGTAATATATTTTCAGCAAAAATATTTTGATTCTGGAGATTATCAAATGGCAAAACAAAAATATACAGCTAAGCCTAAGCCAGCTGGTGTTTTGCCAACAGGTGATGCTATACCTACACCTGAAACAGTACCACAACGAAAAACATCTATAATTCAACAAAAATTTAATACAACAACTACATCATAAATTTTTGTACTGTTTTAAAAGTATTGCAACTCCAATGATATAATGCGGTTATATGCAATCTGAATTTTAAATGATTCAATATCTTTATATTTTATAGATGGTATTATTTTGAAACTTCAACTTTTATGTTTTTTGAATGCTTATACATTATCAATATATTGAAAAAGATTTATGTTCATAATAATATGTATATTTTTTTAGTAATCATCATATCATGTGCCATAAAAACATTCCAAAGATGAAAGTTTTTAAGGTACTTCAAAAAACAAATTATATACTTTATGATAATGTATCATGTATCAAATATTATTATTCTGATCTTTCTTTTATTAAAAGTGTTAATAATTTTGTGTTGTTTAAAATGATAATTTAAAAACATAAATATAGAAAATATAGAATTTCAAAATTTATTTTTAAAATAAGTAATGAAGTTAAATATTTAAAAATACAAGATTGGTGATAAAAAAAAAAACAATGTTGTAACATGCAATAGATTTTCAGAATGAGATATTATACAGATCTGCATTTCCAAAGTTGCTGTGATGTGTTTAGACTATATTCTTATAAGATGTCAGATTGTCTTAAAATCTGTATTTAACTTAAAATAATCTTAATATAGCAATTGTTTTGTTTATTGTAAACTATATTATTAATATATTGCAATTTAAATTTACCAATATTTATTTAATTACTCCCATTATTTTGATAAAAAAGAAGAAATAAATTTGAATAATAAACTTTTATTCATTAATTTTTTTTTCATATTTGTCAAAATAGAAATTTTAAAATTGTTTTTTGTATAAATAATGAAATTTATATTGAATGATAATTTTTCTATATGTGAAATATTTATTGAAATAATTAGTAAAAAAATAATAAACTTATAAATAAAACATTTTAAATATTAAATCACATATATTTTAATAATCATGCATATGATATATGCTTATAGTTTATTTTTGCTATTTTTATTGTTGCTATTTATAAATATATTCTATTTTTATCTTATTCTAATTTTATAGAATAAATTTGTATTTTGCAATAAAATTTTTAATATTCCAAAATCAACTATAATTAATGTACATATCTGCTATTTATAAATATATATATATGCTAAATTTAATAATTAAGATAAATCTATACAATTGTAAATTGATATTATGCTAAAATATTGTTCTAATAAATTTTTTTTTTATAATCGTATTTTAAATATTAAAGCATTTTATTTTAGAAATATTTTTTTTCTTTTTAAATTATAATTTTCATATATATATATATATATATATATATATTATTTATACATGTCTTCTATCAAATTTTCATACATTTTATAAATAATATTCTTTTAATTTTAAGTGTTGGTCCCAATTCTCCAGTAACAATTGAAAAATCGTGCGGCAAAATTTGGAATTTTTGTACTTTTTGTGCATGGCTTATTACTTTAGTATTTGCTCTTTTAATTGCTTTATCAATTTCTTCATATACCTATAAAAACATATGTTTATAAATAATTTGTTTTCTATTTGAAAAATTTTTTGTTATATGCAGGATAATATATTTGTAACATTCATTCAAAAGTCAAAAAAAATATAAAAGTATATAAAAAATATCAATTGAATGTTATTTAAATTATAAGTAATTGATTACTTGTTAATTAAATTACTTGTTTTATTTAATATGCATTCATTTTAATGTTATAAATTATTTAAAATTTCAATTAACATTTTTATATACCAATTTTTGTATTTATTAAATTTTATAAAATTAATTTTAAAAATATCTTACAAATTAATACATTGTATATATTAATAAACTTACAAATGGATCATGTGTTTTTAAAACTTCTGAAACTGTTTTTGATGTACTTCCAATAGATTGTAACCATTTTAAAGTATTTAAAGTAAAATTATCTTTTGGAGCACCAGTTTCAGCATTAATTTCAGTCTGAAAATAAAAATTATATAATTTAAAAAAATATAAATATTATCATATGTAGAAATTCAAAATATCTATATCTTACCTTTAGAGTAACTAACATAGTAAGATATTTTCGTTTATCTCCAATTAATAAAGCATTACTTAATACAGGTAGTTCAGCTAATACTAACTGTTCTATATAAATTGGTGGTATGTTTTCTCCTCCAGCAGTTATAATTAATTCTTTTATTCTTCCTATATTCAGTATATAATCATATATATAGATATATTAGATGATGTTATACAATATATAAAGATATATATATAAAACATATAGTATATATTGCTATATAGTATATATACTATATGTACAACATATATACAGAATGTCTTACAATATATAATAAATATAAAATATCGAAATGAAAAATTCATATATTCTATTTGAAATTATTTATAAAATATTTGTAAAATGAGTTTTCTATTCTCTTATTTTGTATCTGATTATCTTCGCTTAACATGATTATTTATATTTCAACATATATTTGAAGATCTTGTTATTAATATAATTATCTGTTCAATTTTATATTCTATGAAAGTATATAATCAGATACAAAATGAATTAATTGAAAATTGATTATAAATCTCATAAACAAGATTAAGGACATAAGTTTATATAATCTCTTTTAATCATTTTTATTCAATTAATTTCTGAAATATTACTCATATGCAAGACTCTATATATATATGTATATAAATATATACCTGTAATATATAAAAATCCATCTGAATCAAATTTTCCTATATCGCCAGAATGTAACCAACCATCTGCATCCAATACTTCATTTGTCTTTTGAGGTTCATTTAAATATCCCATAAATATGTGTCTTCCATGCAAACAAATTTCTCCTTCACCATTACTATCTGGATTATACAATTTTGTGTTAAATCCACATGAAGGTCGACCAACACTATTTAATCTGAATAAAAAATAAATCAAGAAAAATCTATTAAATAAATCATGGAAATATAATTTTAAAAACAAAATGTTTTCATATTTAAATTAATTAATGTGAACATTTAAAAATATTGATAACATCGAAAAATATTTTAGATATAAGTTATATATATAAATAATTTTGAAGAGCACTTAATTTGATAAAAATATTTTTTTTTAGCGGATATCACATAAAACAAGAATCACATAAAGATTAGCTTTATGATTTAAAATAAAATCAAATATTTTTTTTTTATGTTTTGTAATTAATACTTTGTCGTAAATATTTTTTATACTTATAAAACAATTATATTAAAATATATGTTTCTTAAAATATTCAATTTTTATTTGAAGCTTTTTTCAGTAAAAAAAAACAAAAGTTTTAAAAATATTTATAATTATCGAAATTAAATTAAATATTCCATATAAAAATAAATATTTACTTAAAATTTAATGGTGTATTCAGAGTATGTGCACCACTGCATTCAGACATTCCATATACATCTAATATAGGAATATCTAAACTTAAAAAATATTGTTTAATTTCGGAACTTAATGGCGCTGCTGCACTAATACACAATTTACATCTATCCAAACCTAGTGCTGCTTTTATTTTATTAAAAACAAGATATTTAGCAATTATATAGCTCCAATGTTTGTGATCATTGCCATTCATTTTATTTATATTATAATAAAGAGCTTGTGATTTTGCCCAAGAAGCAATCCATGTTTTAATAAATCCATTGTTAGCTGCAACTGCTTGCATTTTTTCATAAATCTTTTCCCATACTCTTGGTACACCTACGAATGTGGTAGGTCGTGCCATAAGCAGAGTATTAATTAAACTACCTTTAAGTGCATTTTGGTCTGCGAAATATATTGTGCCAGCTATATATAACATGAAATATAAATCAACTACCTGGAATCATTTAATATATAATTATAATAATACTATACATTCAGAATCTCCATGCATTTCTCGAAATCACTCATATCAATAATTTACATAATAAATATTCATTTTATAAATTTATGTATTAAAAATTTTCATTTTTTACAAATTAACATTAATTGTGAATGTGAAACTTTTTTGTTTTTCAATCATGTTGTAACAAATTGTCATTAATCATAACAATCATAAAAATTTATATTTACCTGTGCTGCAACATGAGAAAGTGGTAAATAACTAACTAAAGTTTCGCAACCTTCTTTCAATTCCAAACTATTACTCAAGCTTCGAACATTGGATAAAAAATTATCATGACTTATCATTACAGCTTTTGGATTTCCAACGGTACCTGACTGTAAAAAATATTATAATTTCATTTTTTAATTTAATAATTTAAAAAACATTCTTTAATATTAAAATCTCATAAAAAATTAACTTTTCACACCGTGAAAACCAAAGTGCAGCATTCGTTCACTGCAATTGTTTTTAGAACTTCATTTAATTTGACATCAGACTCTGCTTCACCAATTTTTATTAAGTCATTCCACTAATAAATAAAAATTTTTATTAAATATATTTTAATAATAAATTTGATATCATATAAAATGACTTACACTTAAAATATCTTTTTGTTCTGGTTTGCCTTCGTATTGAACAATTACTTTCAAATGAGGAAGATTCTGCTTTATTTGTAATATTTTTTCTAATTGTTTTCTATTTTCAACAACTATTATATTTGCTTTACTGATTACAGCACAATGTTGACATGCTTCTGGATTATTTGTTGTATATATTCCAACTGCAAATCCTCTAAAAAAATTATAAACTAATATAATATAAAATATTATATTATATATTAATTATATATTTTATAAATATTTATTATATTATGTATAAATTTATTATAATTATATTATATGTAAATATAATTATATATTGCATAAAATATTTGAATAAAATATTGTTATAAATTTTTCCTTTTTCACATACAATATATAAAGGATTCAAAAGCTAATAAGTTTGAATTTATATGAATTCTCTTAAATTTAATTCAAGAATTTTTTTATTGTTTAAATTTTCAATTGACAAGTTAATTAAATTATTACTATGAAAATACTTATTCATTTAATTTGTTAAATTTTGAAAATTAATTTTAGAAATTTAAATAATAAGAAAATTTTTAATATATAAATTATTTTTAAAGAATGTGATTTATAATTAGATATATTATCCTTCTTATTCTTCATATATGTACATTTAATCTATTTAATATTCATATATGTAATATTTACCCTGCATATATTGCACCAAGATTTGCAAAAAGCCATTCTGGACTATTAAATCCTAAAATGCAAACTCCATGGTACCGTTCTAAACCCAATTTCAAAAAAGCCCTGGCTACAGTTTTCACTTGACTTTCATACTCACTAAAAATATATATTAGCAAAACAAGTAATCTATTTTAAATATTAAATATTTTTTTTATTTCTGTAAAATGCTTACCTATATGTATATGTTTTTCTTATACCATTTTCATCAGGTCTTGCTACCAAAGCTAAATGATTAGAATATTTCTTAACTGTATTTGACATTAATCCAGGAATTGATATAGGCATTGAATTAACATCATCATTATTTAATTGTATTCGTACACATCCATTGTATTCTGTGGTCTTAAAGCTATCAGCAGGTAAAATTTGATCAGGTCCTATAAATAAAATAAGTGAAATAAATATGCTTTAAAACTCGTTAATTTTTTAAAAATTTGGATATTTACCATCGAGACCAGTTTCGCTGTAATGCATAAAATTTTTGTCCGTTATATCCTGCAAGATTAAAAATTCTAATTACTTTTTTTTCTTTCTTTTATTTTTTATTTTATTTTATTATATAAATATGAATTAGACGAACCTGTCGATATGTTTTTCCATATTAATTTTAATGACTTTGAAATATATTATAAAGAACATTATTTTATACAATTTTTTTCTTTATACATGACAACAGTCAATTTTAATTTTCGAGTTATTCGTAAAAAATTTTTGATATTACATTACTTAATTACATTAAATTTTGCCTGTGTATACGTTGTTTACGTTTTTAAGCGATCATTTCTTATCTCATTATATACATATTTTTTTAAGTTTTTTATATGAATAAAACATGATATATATTCTCAATTTAAATACATTATATATATTTAATTAATATATGGATACTTTATATACATTTTTTGTTATTCTTTAAATATATCATATATATATTATTTTAACATGGATAGATATTTTAGTATAATATAATCAAACTAATTTATGAAATGGAATAAATTTCATTTTAAATTATCTTTTATTGAATTTGTATTGATTAAATTAAAAATTTGGCTATTTATATTACAAAAAAAAATTATTCTAATTGTTTAAAGATTGAGAATTTCATCTTTTATTAATAATTTAATAAATAACTTAAAAGAATATATATATATGTAAATGACGTATCGCTGCATTAATGCATACATATAAGCAGAATTCAATATAAAAAAATTTTTATGAATAATTTGAAAATTAAAGTTGATTGTAAAAATTATGTATAATGAAAAAAATTTCTCCAAATGATGTCATAATTTTTTCAAGTTTTGAATTTATTAAAATCGAAGATGAGAGAAAAGAACATTGATAGATTTATGACGAATGATATTAGAATAAATTTTCTAAAAAAATTATTTGATTTTTTTTTTTAATTATCACACCTTTTCATTTATCGCAAAATCCTTTATTATTCCATTTGTTTGAATTGGCTGCATCGTCGTCATATTATCTAAAATAGTACAGTAAAACATAATATAGTAAGTTTTATACATAATTAAATAAAAATATTTAAAATTTAATTTGTTTTATAATAAATATTTTGGCATAAATAATAGTTTCGAATATGAATACAGTTAATATAAATTATAAATAATAATGATAATAATAATATATGTAATAATTTAATTTTTTTAATTTAATCTTATCTTAAATTTAATTATCTTAAACATTATATTTCATGAAATTTAATAATTATCATCTTATTTCAATATATTAACAATATCTTATATATTTGATACAATTAGTGATAAGCATATAAATAGGGAAATCTGAAATCGTCAATTTATTTACAATAATATAAATACAAATTTTAAATCTCAATCTTTTTTTCAGACATATTATGTGAAACTATTTATTAAGTTTTATACGTATATGTGTTGGATATATTTAGTATATTTATATTAAATGAAAAATGTTGCATTTATATTACACATTAATGTATAAATTTATAAATAACATCTTATGATTTATTTCGTAATCATTTAAATTATAAACTCTCTACTAAATCTTTCTTAAGTCTTTAATAGTAATCTTTAAAATTAATTACGTGATACTTTGATATTTTTTTTCTTTTTAGTTAATTATTAAATTATGTAAAAATCTACTTATCATATCATATTGCATCATTATATTAGCATCCTTATATTGCGTCATCTTCATAAATATTTTCATAAATTATAAACTTACATAAATTTATATTTATATAAATTTATATTTATATTTATATATTTATATAAATTTTATTTTAATTTATTTCAAATGTATTGCATTGTTCTCTTGGATCATAATTTTAAAGATATATATATATAAAACTTGTTGACTTTTGATTAGATACAAATGAATAAGAATTAATTTTAATTTAATTTTATGAAAATAAACATATAAAATAATTTTTTTATTAAAATTAATTTTAAAAAATTGAATTTAAAAATTAAAAATTATTTTAATTAAAAAATATGATTATCAATTATCTTGACCATAAATGTTGTTATTGAGCAATTTGATCTTTTAATACACTACTAAAAAACTTAATTTCGGAGATACATTATAAATTAGATAAAAGAATCGAAAGAAATTACATAAAAAAAAGTTATATAAAAAAAGTATAAATTTTATTGTTTTATAACAATATAATTGATTTATAAAAATTACTATAGAAATAATATAGAAATTTTTTAATAAAATGGAATCAATTTCAATCAATATGCCAACACAAATTAAAGATTTTTTAAATATATCCAAAATATATTATTGTATTCAAAAAATTTGTTTATATATATATTATTAAAGATTATTATAAAATTATAAAAAATTTATAAAAAACTAAAAAATAATAAAGAAAATGCAATAGCAATTATAAATACGTTTAAATAATATAATGAAATTAATTGACGCATTTATCATTGAATTATGCTACAATGTGATTATTATTTATCAGTCTTAAAAGACCGATATATTTAAGTTACAAAATATTAATTTAATAATAATTTTTTTATATTCAATTCACTTTTCCATCTATTATTAGAATTTAAAATTAGTAAAATACTTTTACAGGTATCTTATTATTAAAAAAATAGAATTCTTACAGAATTTGTTTATTCTATAAGAAAACTATTAATGTAAGTTAATAACAAAATAATATTTTTTGGCACATTTAAACATTGAATATATTTTTTTTTTATTAACTGAATTGTTAACTGATTAATTAAATTGGTGAAACATTTCATATGTTACCTTGTCATCTATATTGGGATAAAAAAGGAATGGAAAAATATATTAATTAATAGTCACAGTAATTAAATAATTATTTTTTCGATTAGATCTTTTATAAAGAAAAAATAAAAAATTAAATTATGACATGATAATTTATTCGGAAATCCAAGAATGAACATGCAAATAAAAGAGTCATTAGATGATAAACAGAAATCATATAAAATTGATATTTTTTGATTATGTAACAAATAGTATTTTTCCATTAACAAATTAAATTACAAATTTAAGTTACTTTGAAAACAAATAAAACTTGAAAAAAACATCATATACATTTTAAAAAAAATATTATATATATCTTTACTTTCATTTATTACATAATTAAAATTAAAATATGAATTATTTGATTTAAAATATAAATACAGATTTTTTTTTATTTTTTTTTTATTTTTTTACTTATAATTTGATTTCAATATTAAATAAAATAATGAAATTTTGAATTTTTGTATAAATTGTTATAATTATTAATTTTAATTAAAAATTGATGAACTACATATAATAAAAAAAAAATTATAATTTTTAAACTTATGAATGAATTTAAGACATAATAACAAAAAAAATGCAATATTATTGATAATTTTGTTATAGAAGTTTCTTTCTCTCATTTCCTTCTTTTTGTACTGCTGAGAATAGTACCGTTAAATGTCAATGATTCGAAGATAGAAAGTGGGTCTATAGTTCGAATAATTTTTTTTTTAATTAAAAATTATAATCTATTTGATAATGAAAGAATGAAAATAAGATATAAATTTGAAACGATTAATGATAAAGAATTTTGTTTTTTTTCCTATTTTTAAATTATCTATAAATATAAATTATCGTTTTATATGGAATTATCATTTATGAAATTTTATTATTTAATTATTTTTAATAATTTTTTTAATCCAATTATAGAATAATCCAATTTTAAAATCATTATATTTTTTATTTACTCGAAAAATATATATTTTATCAATATATTTTATATTTATAAGAATTTTATTATTAAAATTTTTATACATTTAAGTAAAGTTATTAACAAGATTAATAAACGTTTTATAAAAAAATTAAATATCAATTTTTTATCAATCAAAAATTCAGTCGATTTTTATTATAGTAAAATTTTTTTAAATAACTGTTCATAATTAAAATAAAAAATATTTTTATTTGAAAATTAAGAACATTTAATATGTTGACAATTATTTTTTACTGTTCTAAAAATCATTTCACTGTACTTTACATATAATATATGTATAAAGAAAACACATGAAATTGATATTTTATTAGTCATCATTTACAATCAATAGTTATTTTTTCATCTACATTGAAGTTTATAATTGGTCGATTCTTTAGATGCAACATATATAAAATTTAATGCATGATTTATATTATTATTAAAAAATAATAAATTTTTAAATTAATATAATTTTCTTCGTCATATTTAAATTCATATAAATTCTTTTAAATGTTTTAAAATTTTTATTTTATAATGTATATTAAATATTAAATTTTCTTACATTCTTCAATGAAGATGAAAAGTGGGGAATGAACTTAAGCCCGTTACTAGTGATCACGCCACATCGAAATCATATATTTGATATAAAAAAAAATCACGTAATAATGATAATTTTAATATATCACAAAATAATGAATATTATTTCGAATTCAATAAAATATAATCATTATATTTATTTGATTATTTATAATATATTAAATTATTATTATTTAAAATCAGATTAATTCAGTTATATTCATTATAAAAATTATTCATATTATTCATATTATGTTATATTCATATTTATTATTATATTATTAATTATATTATTAATTATTACATTATTAATATATTAAATTTTTATATAAATATAATATTTGAAAATTTTATAAATAACATAAAAAACAATTTTATAGATAAAAATATTCAATTTAAAACCTACCTTCCTTCTTAAATGATGATTTTATAATTTTAAATTCACACAGTACAATTCAAAGTAGTCTTTGATTTCTTCTACTTGATAACTCCGTACTGTACAGACGTTGCTGTGATACTGATTAAACTCTGAGTTTGCCGCGCTAATCCATAGTCAACGATTGTTTGATATAGAATATCATACTTGAAACCAATAATTGCAATTCTTTTATTACGTAGCGACAATTTGCAAAAAATTCAAATAAGTTACAGATATATGTATAAATAAATAAAAAATATAGATATATTTTTTAATATAGATATATATAAATATATATAAATTTATTTCTATAAATATGTGGGAATATATTTTCATTATTCATTATTCATTATTCATAAATCATTATTCTGAAATAATCATTTACAATATCAATATTTTAATAACATTATGAAATACACACAATGAAATGCAATAAATTATAAAATTATAATTTTTCAAATATATAAAAAATATCATTATAAAATATTTTTTTCCATTATTTAATTACAAATTTCATTAAATAAAATTAGTTTCCTTCGTTTACGAAAAATCATTTTTTGTGTCATTATGATCATCATCATGAATGTTGTCATAATATTTGTTTATGATTAATATATTCCAAATTTATAATTTAAATAATTAAATTTATAATAAAATTACCATTAAATAAAATACAATGATTTAAACAAGAGAAATATAAAATGAAAAATATCAAATTTAAATTTATTATTATTTTTTAACATTAATTGTAATATTCTAATATTAATGATAAAAACTGTTCATTATAATATATCTTTGTATTAAATTTATTCTATAAAAATCTTTAATACATTAATATATTTAAAAAATATAAAAGAAATTCAAAATCATTTAATAATTTGTTATAATAAAATAATATAAAAAATTTTTTAACATTCTTTTTAATTTAATTTTGCCATATATGAAATATATTATTTTTTATATATTATTTTCAAATAATTAAATTTAAATTTAATATATTTAAAATTTTAAATTTAAAATATATAATATATAGATATATATTCATAATATATATATGTTGGAAAATTGAAATTTTTATATAATAATTTTATATTTTTCTTAAATTAATTATTTTATTAATAAGTTTAATTTAAAAATATTATATAATTTGATATAAACTTACATTATATATCATAATTAACTTTAATTATTAAAAGTTAATATAAAAAATCAAGTTATCCACATGCGCAGAAGACAATAGTATACGCGCGCACACACACACACAAACACACACATATACGCGATAGTTCAATAGGTTAAAGAATTTTATTGTCACGCAAAAGATTATTAACTTATCATATAACCAAAATTAAATTGTGATAGTGAAACATAATAATTCAATTAAACAATCTACAATGCCAGGAACACCTATGAAAGAAAAGAATGATACATTACAAAAATTGCAAATAACGGAACGCCCTCCGATTACAAATTATGAACCCGTTGTGCGGGAAATAACACAAACTGATAAATTAAATAAAAAGTTATTGGTATCGCTTTTAGAAAGAATGAATAAATCTACTGGCGAATTCGATAAATTTATGGACAAAGGAAATAACAGTTGTGATTCTCAAAATGATAATGAATTTTAAATGTAAATGTGCATATTATAAAAGCTAACCTACATATATCATTAACCGGCAAAATTATCATTACAATTATATAATTATCAAAGAACGAATATTATTTAATAAGAGAAGAAAAGTTAGAGTTTTTTGCATTTAAATATTTATATTTAAGAATTTTCTAAAAAATTTAATATTAAACGAAGAATTAATATTTTGTATATAAAGTGGTAATACAACTTGTTGAATATGATGACGATATCGGATATTTCCGATTCCAATGAAAATGAACAAGACATAATAATTCAATACGAAAATCAAGAGTTAGAGGAAGATCAAGATATTATTCAACAAAGATCAGACTTGGAAAATGAAGAAAGTAAAGAAGAGAATATTGTAAAAAGAATTGATCCATCAACTTCATCTAAGAAACATATAGTAAGAAATCCTTTGCCTAAATTAAATACAGAACGTTTAAAGGGTCCTAAAGGAATTCATACTATTGAAAAATATTTTGAAGGCTTTAAATATTATGAAAAAGGATATGAAAAATTAGATTTGGATAGAATTATGAAAAGATTAGAACATTGGGGACATAGATTATTCCCTAAATTAGATTTTGATGATTTTCTTGAAAGATTAGAAAAATTAGGTACTAAAAAGGATCTTCAAGTATTTATAAAGAAATATAGACAAGATATGATCAATGAAGATATTGATATTATTAACCAGGACAATATAGATGCAGAAGAAAATAAAGAACAAGATGAACCTATTGATGAATTTGATTTATTAATTGCAGAACAAATAGAAAAACAAAAACAAGTTATGCAACAATCTTTTAATGTAGCTGCAACTAATAATGATGCATTTGATAAGTTATTATCAGAATCTAATACTGCAAACTCTTTGTTTACAACTAATACTTCTAGTTCTTCACAATTAAGTAATGAAGTAAAAGAACGTATAGAAAAAAATAGACAACAAGCTATCCAAAGAAGACTTGCAAAACTTAAAGAAATGCAAGAAAAAACTAAATAAAAAAATTTGAAAAAATTAGAATCTAATATAAATTCTTTATCTACAGTTAATATTATAGAGTTATTATAGTTAATTCTTTGCAGTTCAATAATAAGATAAAAAAACATTTAAAAAGAAATTGGAAAAGCTATCCAAAAAAGATTGTAAAATTTAAAGAAATGCAAGAAAAAACTAATAAAAAAAGCTTGAAGAAGTTAAAATTGCAAATTATCAGAAAATTGTAAATTATTATATTAAAAAATAAATAGTTTAAAAAATAATGGATCTAAGAATATAAATATTATAATATAACTTGTAAAAAAGTCATTAAGGAATTTTATATTCTTTAAATTTATATTGATGTAGCAATTAGAAAAAAAAATACATTATATTATAAAATACATGATCTTAAATACATTATTTATTATAAATTTTTGAAAAATACTTCTTAGATGTTTATGTAATGTGAAATAAATAAATATATCATAATATAAATTATATATTTATTTTACTTAAGTTCTACGTTTTTGTGTACTGATATATAATACATTATTACCACGAATAAATGCATCACCATATTTGTCTTTCAATTGGCCATTTACATATTCTTCTGTTTGTTCAAGTGCTATATTCATATAACCATCAAGACAAGCTAAAACACCTACAAAATAAAAATAACTTTTTAATTATTAAATTATACTTTAAGATACTTTATGTACACTGATATACATAAATACATTACCTCTATAATCTACACCACTATTTAATTTTACAACAACAGGACGTCCATGTATCTGTTGGATAAATTGAGATAATGCTTCTTTGCGACTCATCTGTGAATTTATATATATAAAAAATAAGTATTTATTTATATATTATTTTTTTTCTTAAATGAGGTTAGAATAACGTTTTAAGATAATTTTATCATTTATAATTGTTATTGTTATGCATTTTTAATGTTTTTTAAACACTTTTTAAATTATATTTAAAATATTCTATTAAAAATTTTATAATTTTACCTTTTAATTTTACTAATTTATTTTTTGATACACAGTATCTAATAAATTTATACTATTGATGAGATTTAACGAATCGGTGATCGTAATAAATGTAGGTTTACAAGTAAATATAAATATTTATATCTATGATAGATAAAATATAAAATAAAAGGGTTTTTTTACTAAATGCATTTATATTAATTGAACATTATATTTTATTTATTTTAAAATAAATCAACCAATCTAATTGTAAATAATAACCATAAACTAAATTTTTATAGAATTTTATGAAACAAAATACTATTAAATTACTTTTTTATTTATTATAATTCATATATTTAATTATTATTAATATAACATTTAAATATTATTATTTATTTTTATATTCTACATTTTTTTTATATTCTATACAATTTTTATAAAATAAAAAAGATATATATTAATATTTAGAGAAACGATAGTTATATTCAACTTTAATATATTTCAAAGATTTTTATAGTATTATGTATAATTATTTGATTATATAGTCTATAAAACAAAAATTAAAAAACTTTATAGACTAAAACGTAACTGTTTAGTGATGTTTATTATAACTTTATTTTTATAATTATTTATTAAAATATATTTAAAGAATTTTTGGAAAATAATAATTATTAATTTATAGAACTTATTAACTTATGTTTCATTATATTTTTATGTAATTAATGTGACATAGAGGACATTCCATATATCTTATATTTTTGTGAGATTATTTTATCATTAAATATGGTGGTATTAAAACGAAAAATTTGAATAATTTTCTTTTTGCAAGTTAAAATAAAAATGATTTTTAAAAATTTATTTTACTTTTTATACTACTTTCTATTATGAATAAATATATAAATTAGAATTATAATTAAAGCGTAATTACATAAATCTTTATACTTCATAGATAGAGATACGTTGTTTGCAGAAATTTCGCTAATTTACAATTACTATGGTACATTGGTTACCAAAAAAATGTTTTAAAAAGAGGTATTATTCTTAATTTTAATCATTTATTTTTATCTGATCATATAATTTTAATCTTAGATTTAATACATATACAATCGTATAAATTTACGAATTAATACTAACATTTTGATACATCAATTTAATTTAATTAATATTTTAAGTTGATTAAACTATCGATAAGTGTAATTATTTCCACTTTAAAAAAATTATTAAGTTATTAATTAAATTATTAATTATTTAAAAAAGTTTTAAACTTTTAAAATATTTATTTAGCTTATATTTTTTTCAAACGATATGAATGTCATAATATAATTTTTATTATTTTCAAATATATATTTTTTTTTACATCAATATTATATATAATTATTATTTTTTTATTAGTTTGATTTGATGATTTATTTTTGGTTTTAATAAAAAAATTTTCAAAAATTATCCAATAAATTGTATATACTCTGATAAATCTAATTTAATTTAATTTTATTTAGCATGTAATATGAACTCATTGATTCTAATTTAAATATTTTAACATAATTTTTAATATATATATTTATTTATATAATATATATTATATTTATACATAAATTCAATCTTTTTTTATGTTATATTTTTAACACTGGATTCATGGGATGTAATGAAATAAAATAAAAATGATTACATTTAAAAAAAGTCCTAAAATAACAATATAAGAACAAGTAAGAATAATCAGAATGATTATATCTGACGTTTTATTGATTTATTTTAAAAAATGACAAAATTGTTAGATATTCATAAACTTTTGTTAATCAAAATAATATGCAGATTAATATTAAATCTTATATTTATATATTAATATTAAATCTTTAAAAATTTCAATTTTTGAAATCTTATAAATCAATGATTTCATAATTCATCTATATCTTTGATTAAATTTGCATTTTAATTTACATAGGTAATTTAATAATAGAAAATATTAAAATAATGTATATGAGAAAATTTTTAATTTTCTTTTAATATTAATAATAATTTACTGTAAAATATAATCTATGAATATAATGATATAAATATGGATATAATTATACTTTCATGCATGTTTAAACAAATGATACTATATTTATTATTACATCATTAATGTATATTAGTAGTTTATAATGACACATATAAATTACATTAATGGGGAACTTAAAAAAGCACCTTGTGTTTGATAGCTACTAACAAATATGCAGACAACTTATCTGCTATTAGCAGCAATATTACCTTTCGCCGCTCTTGATATTTGGTATACAAAAATGTAAGTCTCTTTGTTATAATCATAATACAACACATCTATCTTTTTTTTATTAGAATTAATAATTTTATAATATAACTTCTAAAATAAAGAAAATTCCTATTTCTTATTAAGAAAATGTCTTATTTAATATAATCTTATCTAATATAATTTTAAAATTTCTTATATATTTTTATCTTTCTTATAAAATATATATTTACTATAATAATATTTTTAAAATTTTATATATTTGAAGAAAGATAATTTTATTTTAATATACTAAGCACTTTGTATTAATATTTAATTATTAAATAATTTTAAAATATATTGTTTTTTTTTCATTATTAAATAATAATTAAAAAATTATTAAATATAATAATATATTATTTATTTTCTTAAATTACTTTTTAATATGAAATTTTAATAAATTTTTCATTTTAATCTTTTATGTTAGTATTGAATAAATATGAATTTCTTAAAGATTATTTTATAAAATAAATACAATATTTTTTTTGAGTTTTATTTAATTTGACTAAATTTCAAATAATAAAAAATGTAATAATTATTATTTAAATTGTAGATATAATTTTTATGCAATTTTATTCTTTATTTAAATTGTAATATTAAATTTTTATAAAATTAAAAAGATATAATGTTTTTATAATGAGAGATTTTTTATCATTATTGTTTTATTTATGTTATATATATGTATATTTATTTATTTGTATAAATATATTTTATTTTTATATCTTTTATTTTATTTGTATATTTATTTATTTAATTATTTATTTATAACTAAGAGTTATAAATTATAATTATTTATTATAACTAATATTTAAAAAAAAAGATTATGATTGGAAAATAAAATTCAAATAAATATACTAATATAATATATAGTATAAATTATGGAATTTATTTTAAAATTATTTTATTTTTTTAAAAATATTACTAAATTATTACTAAATAAATATACGTACTAAAGTATAATTATTTATTTATAATAATAGTAAAATATATTTATTGCAGATATTTATTTTGGATTATGAAGGTATCGATATTTACATATCTTGTTATATTTGGACTTTTACCTATTATATTTCATTATTCTTATGCTTTTCAAAAAAAAGATTCTTTTCTTAAATTTTGGTAAGTAAAATTTATTTATACAGATTATTGATAAACTTATTTATATACTTATATATGTGATATATTTTTAGTGCAATGGCCACTTAATGTAGATTTTTCAAAACCAGAATCAGTTGGAATGAAAGGAACAAGAAATTTTTATTTAAAAACTGATGAACAAGTGAAAATAGGATTATGGTTGATAATTGATAAATAAATATATATTTTCAATATATTTAAATTAAATACATATTATTTTTTTAGGCAAATACTACCTCAATCCTTATTAAATGATTCCACTATTACAACTGCTAATGATTATGAAGCTGTATTAAAAAATGCTAAACAACCTATTTTTCTTTATATGCATGGTAATAGTGGTAATAGAGCAAGTAGCCATCGTTTAGAATTATATAAACTTTTTCAGAATTTAGATTATCATGTTATATGTTTTGATTACAGAGGTAAGATTAAAATATATGTTATAATATAAATGTTATAATTGTAAAAAAAAATTCATATAAAAATTTTATGTAAACAATTGTCAAATATTTTTGATTGCAATGTTTTTTAATATAGGCTATGGTGATAGTGAAGAAGCAGAACTTTCTGAAATGGGGGTAGTTAATGATAGTAAATATGTACTTGAATGGCTATTAAAAATAGTAAATGGTACAACTCCTGTTTTTGTATGGGGACATTCATTAGGAACTGGGTATAAATTTATATTTATATAAAGTGATAAAATTAATGATAAAATTAAAACTTAGATTTTTATTATATTATAGAGTATCTACTCATGTATTGGCATTATTAGCAATAAAAAAAGTTCAACCTGCAGGTTTGTTCTTAGAATCACCATTTAATAATATAGCAGATGAATTAAGTGAACATCCTTTAGCACAGGTACTATTAAAAATAATAATTTCAAAAACATGGTTCCTCTATATTTATTTAAAATCAATTTAAAATTCTAATTTAAAAATTTTTAATTTGTTTTTAGATATTTAAACATTTACCATGGTTCCATTGGATAATTGTTGAACCATTTTATGATAACTTTCTTCGTTTTGAATCTGATAAACATGTAGAAAAAATTCAATGTCCTATTATGATATTGCATGCAGAAGATGATAATATCATTCCATTTGCTTTAGGTGAAAAGGTACAAATATGTTTCTTTTTTATAAAATTTCATAAAAAAAGATTTCCAATTGAAACTATAAAAAATTTGCTTTTTTTAGTTGTTTAAAGCGGCAATAAATTATCATGGAAATAATACAAATAGCATTCAAATGACAAGAATTGATGCATTATATGGCCTTGGACATAAATATATATGTCGTTATAAAAATTTACCTAATGTAATCAAGTAAGTATTAACTATTAATGTAATTTTATTATAAAGTTTATTAATAATTTTTATAATTTTTTCCAGATCATTTGTAGCTAAAGCACATAAAAATCAGACTGAGTAAATTATATTTAAATGTCAATACTTTTATATAAATATTTTTTTGTATTGCACATATTCAATAATTATATCAATTTTATTGACATGTATAAAATTTATTTATTGCATAATTATATTTTATTTTTTATTAAATAGTTCGCTACTTATAATATCCTGTAAAGTACAATAAAATTTATCATCAAACAATTATTAAAAATGTAATGAATTTATGTTTGAAATAAAATTGAATGATTAATTGAAATTCTATTGTGCAGTTTAAAATTAAAAAAAAGTATATTGGTATTTTTTAAGTGTATTGCATTTATTAAATAAAAAATAAAATAAGATATCATTAATCTTAAAAATCCTATCAAAAATCTTAAACTAAATTCGAAATATAAAACTCATTATAGATAACTATATTATATATATTAAAAATTACGATTTTTATATCTTATTAAATTTTTTTTTAATATTTATAGAATTTGTTTTTTTTTTATAAAATTTATATTTTTATAAAATTATATTATAAAGATAATTGTAACTAAAAAATTATTAATTATAATTTATAGAATGTAGAGGGCGTTGCAATAGATTTTTCTATAGGTAAATATTCGATACGGATATACATTAATGTAGTTTTATATTCTATGATAATTTTGAAAACACGTGTATATGTTGTTATAAACATGTTTTTTTTATCAATATTTCTGATATTAACAATATTGATTAATATTGTAATTAGTAAACAGTATATTGAAAATATGAAATATATTGATAAATGAAATGTTAGTAAAAAAAAGGAATTTTATTTTATTTATTTTGTATTATTATTACAAAATAATTCTTTTTTTAGATTAATAAATTACTTATAAAGAAAGAAATGTAACAAAAAATATATATATAAACAAAGAATTTCTAAAATTTTTAAATATAATAAACATTGCTAATTATAAGGAATAATAAAAATGGAGGAGCAAAGTATTTTAACATCAAAATCATATAAACGTGCAGAAACAAATTTGAAAGATAAATTAAAATTAGCATTTTTAAAACGTTATCCTCATTATTTAGTACCTGGATATAATTTACATACTAATTTTTTTGTAGATGATTCTGATTTAGAAAATGTTATAGAACAATATCAAGAATATCCTTATCATTGTGATTTACCAAAACCTTTATTGCCACCTGCCAAATTACCTCGAAATGGTAAATATATTGAATTAATTAATAATTTAAAAGATATATTTTTATAATAAATATTATAATTTATATATATAAATTATATAGTATTGAATGAAGAAGATCCTACATTAGAATTAGTCATTCTTAAGAATTATATGAATAAGGATATAGAAAGAATGAAACATTATTATTTGAAACACGAAAAAGGTAAATCTAATAATAAATATAAAATTTTATAAAAAAAATTATATTTATAATAACAATTTTTAGATTATAATAATAAAATTTTTTAGATTTAAAATTGATATACAAGAAAGATATAAAATGGAATCATATGAAAGATGTAATTACTGCTAAAATACCTAAATATATTGCAGATTTAGCACAAATTATTGATAAAGATCCAGATCCTTATTTTAAAGGAGTAAGATAAAAATTAATGCTTTAATTCTTTTTGTAATAAAACTATTAAAATTTTATAATACAAAATCAAATTTATGTAATTTTTTTTTAGGCTTATAATTGGTATTACACTGGTGGATCTATGAACCATGTAAATTTACATAATAAGGACATTTTACTTTTTCCATTTATGGGAGAATTAGGTATTATTATTATTATTATAAAAATATTTCTTCATAATTTAGCAATATAATTTTTTAATTTATTTCTAGTAAGTACACCTCTTGATAATATAGAAGAGTTTTTATGGAAACCTTTATTGGAAAAAGCAGCTAAATGTGAACTCGGTGGTTCATTGTATGAATTAAAACATAATGTTAATGTTGATATTTGTAAGTAACATATATTTAAAGTTATTTTAAAATAGAAAAATAATATTAATAATATATATATATATATATCATTATTGTGGAGATATATAATATATGATATGATATATGATATGATATTAATGTATAAATTTTAGAATATATTTATATATATTATTACTATATAAAATTTTTATTATAAAATTAATAATTTGTAATTCATATTTTAGGTATGATTTTAGGTAGATATAAACAGCATTGTAATTTTTATATATTATCTGAACGTGATAATAAATGTAATCTTACAGAAGTACATACACAAATATCAAAAATACCTTATATTAGTGCAGATTTAAATCCTCTTAATGCGAATCAATATTGTTTAGTTGATGTTGATAGATGTGTGACATTATGGGATATGACTAAAATGTAAATATTGTAAATATACATGTTTCTATGATTGAAAAATTTATATATATATTTTTTAATTTTATAGGAAATCAACAAACTCTAGTACTATATTGAACACTACTTTATTAGATGATTCATGGAGTAGTATAAAATTTCAATCTATAGATCCTAATGTTCTTTTATTTATAGATCGATGCTGCCTACATTATCTTGATATTCGCGTAAGAATACAAATATTAATTATTTTTTAATATTCTGTCTATATTATTATTATTATTATTAATATAAATATATTATAAATATATTATAAATATATATTATTATTAATGTAATACTTAGTTAATAATAAAATTATTTAATTAATGATATATTAATTTTATGTAACAGGTTCCATTTGATCGACCAACATTAACAATATGTCCAAAATTGTATTTAGAAAAATGTGAATATCTTTCATTAGATTGTGCTAGTAAAAATAATTTTTGTAGATATATAGGAACTTATCATAGTGTTTTAATGTGTGATAATCGTTCTCCACAAAAAAGTGTTCAACAAAAATGGATTCATCAATTTAAAGGTCCACCACTTATTGGTTCTGTAATAAATAGGTAAAAGAAAATTAAATAAACTATTCATATATAATTATTCATAATATAAATATATTTAAATATGTAATAATAAATTTATGCTTTTAGAGAAGATAAAGAATTTGTTGTTTTATCTAGTCAAATTGCTGGTGAAACTACAATTATTGTAAATACTTGGACAACTAATGAAATTTCACATTCATATAATTATCCATATACTCCTCCTCATATTAAAGAGACATTAAATGAATCTCAAATACAAGGAATGTGTTTAAATCCATATTTGAGAGATAGATTTGAATTATCAAATACTGGTTCTTTTATTATTAAAGATATTAATCAGAATATATTTTTATTTCTTCAAAATTCTATTGGTACATATTTAATATTTATTTTTATGCTTTATTATATTTCACTAATTAAAAATTTTAATGAAAATATGTTTTTTAGGAGATATATATTATCAATGCTTAACACATGATACTGCATTAGACAAATATTCATTTATTAATGGTAAATCATGCTGTTTATTAAATGCTTGGGAAAATGCAGTATCTGCACAAATAGATACTATAGTACCTCTTACAATATCTAATAAGTTAAATGTGGAACATTTTTTTAAGAGTAAATAAATAATAATTTTTTCATCCTAAAAAGATTAAAAATTATATAGATTTATTTAAATTGAATATTATATATATACATATATAATTTTAATTTAATAGGTTTTACAAATAAAAAATTACAATTGAAAAATCATAAACGTAATTCAATTAATTGTTTTGAACCAAGTTGGAAACAATCCTTTGAGAAATTAAATACTTATATGGATATATTGGCACCTGAACTTTTAGCTATGTGGGAAATATGTGAGGAAGTTCCATTACCTTTAACAACAGCACCTCATCAAAAAGTTTTAAGTTGGTTAGAATCTGCAGATCCAAAAGCACCAATTTTATCACAAGAAGAAATGGAGAATATATCAATGCCAAATACACAAGAATTAATAAGTGTATCTCAAGAAATAACTTATTTGGATGACAGTAATACATTACAAGATCTTTTACCAAAAGTTAAAACTACACATTCAAAAAAAGGAAATATACGAAAAAAACGGAAGGTATGAATACTTAAAGAATTTAATAATTGTATATATAATAAAGATAAAATTATATTTTCTTAATAAAATAATAAAATTAAATATTTCGACATATGAATTACTTGTTTATTTATTTATAGCAAAAATTATACAATAATTACACAATATGTATCGACAAAATGAACGAATATGTTAATGATAATTTACAAATTTTTGTATTTTACAACATTGCATTTTTTTTAATGATTTAGCGATTCCAATGAAATGTTGGTTTCCATTTTGATGTAAGTACCTTACTACTTTCTTGCTGTGCTTTATTTTCCTCTTCTTCTATTTGCATCTAGGTAAATTTTATAAATAATAAGAATTAAATTTAATATAATATAATGATATAATATTTATAGTTAATTTTATAGTCAATATAATATAATTATTACCAAAAATTTTCGTTGGTTTTCTCTAAAAACTTGTAATGGATTATCAAATTGTCTATAATAATTAAGAACTTCTCGTACATCTTCCACATTTGTTGCTAATATAGCTACAGGATAAGAATAAATAAAATAAATAATTATACATGTATATAATTTATAATAATTAATATAAAAAAACACATACTTTTAAGGAATGCAGCTAAATCGTATAGCGTTGTATCATCATCGTTTCCAATCCATTGTGGTAATTGTAAAGTATTCTCAGGATGAAATTTTGTACTTTTTGGATTCCAATCAACTACTATAACCTAATAATATAATGAATAAAATATATATAACAAATTTTTCTTTATTAAGATAAAAATTCTATACTTACTTTACTAAGATCACGATTAAGAGCATTTAAATCTTTAACATGGTGACCATCTACAAAACGTGTTGTATCCCTTACTAATCTGTACATGATATAACCATTAGGATCCAAAATATCCAAGATAGGAAAAACAGTCTATAAAAGTCATATTAAATATATATATATAAATGATATATGAAAATAATAAATAAAATAATTTTGACAATTTATTCAATTACCATTCCTTGTTCTGCTGTATAAACTACAATTTCAAATTGTGGTGGAGCTATAGCCTCTAGAAATTGATCCACACCAGGCCTCTTTTTAAATCTCCAACCAGTTTCATACTAAGATAATAATAAAAATAATATTCATAAAATTTTTATGAATAAAAATATAATTAAAAAAAAAAAAAAAAAAAAAACNAAAAAAAAAGCTACTTACTGTCCAATCAGGATGTACTAATACATCTGTCAATTCTAGCACCAAAGTATAAGGGGGTTGAATATAAGGATATTTGAGTGGATCTGGAAGTAATTTATTTCTACTAGGTTCTTGAACCATCTAAAAAACATATATTTCAATTACAATTAAAATATGTGCTTTTAATTTTATTTTAAACTTTTGATACCTTAGTATAATAATTAAATTCCCTTTTAAGCATTTTATATATTCTTTCATAAAATGGTAAATTTGAAAATTCATCTTCGATAACATTTCCATGTTCATCATATTTAGCCTTTGTTAAATTATATATTACATAAGACAGTCCAACAGTGGTAAATACTCCCAAGAATGCAAAACTATATTTAAGCACTCTTTGTGATTGTTCTCGTTTTTCTTTTTCTTCTGCTTCTTCTTTTGCTTCTTCTTCTAACTTTTTATTATCTAATCCATCTTGCGTTAAAGATTGCACAGTTCCTCCAGACGATTGAATATTTGTCAGACTACCTGTTATTTTTGGTCTATGTGCTATAAAAGAAAAATAATAAACAATTATTATTTATTATATATTATTTATTTATTTTTTTAAATATTTTTTTATTATATAGAAACTGAAAATTTGAAAACAAATTATTTACATAATATTAATGTATTATTTATTTAAAAAATTAATAAAGATTTATTTCATTCATATATCATTGAAAAAATTTCACAATAAACAACATGCAGCTAGCGCGTGTTTCGGTTTATAATAAGGTTATATTTTTTGTATTTACTTACCTTCAGTGTTATAATAATGTCTTTGCGCCATTTGAACAACTGATATTCGAGCGATCGGTAGACGAAGTGCTGAGTATATCGTTGTTGTATTTGCATTGTATATTTTGTATAAATGTCGTATACTTTTTGTCGCAAATGCCATTACTTTAAACAAATCATGAGCTTTCTGGCAGATGTACGCAAAGAGCTCGTGTTCGTATTTTCTGATATGTTAGACAGAGTCGATGTTTTAGAAATCTAGTTTTCCAACATATCTAAAGGCAGTTTACAAGAAGTTAAAATCACAGATCGTTTGTAATATATAGAGTGTTAATATATTCGTGAGATAACTTTGGAGGATTGATTATAGGGGCCAAAAAACACAAAAGTTGATATACAAAAACATTGGTTGAGACTTATTTAGTAAATTATAAGCAATTGAAGATTGTAGATGAAGCGAGATACAGATAGAATGAGATAGCTCTTTTTCCACTGTCGCGTCATTTCGTTCTATTTCCGCCTCACTTCATCTAATACAAACTTAAATTGCTTATATTTTAACAAATAAGTCTTAATCGATATTTTTACATATCAATATTTGTATTTATTTTGATTTCTACTCGATTCTTCAAAACTGTTTCATAAATATATTATATTTATATATCCAGAAAGAAATTTTTTTATAGTTACATGAATATGATATCAAATTCAAATTTTATATAATATAATATATTGAATTATTAAGATTAATAATATCTACTTTTTTCTTATTATGTCATTTTCTTTACTTTTTTATTATATTTTGCTTATTACGTTATAGTAATATTCAGTTTTAAATTAAGTTAATAAATATTCAAAGTGATATTTAAAATTATTTAAAATTTGTATAGCGATACAATAGCAATTTCACAATTTTTTTTCATATAGTTTTAATTATTCGTAAATATTATTACAGATTAAATAACAATGGTTTAATTGTCCGAAACAAAATTATCTCAACGTGTGATGCAACATCTGAAGCTTGATTTAATCAACTTGAGGAAGTTTGCTAGTGGACGGTAGTTGTCAGGTCAGTATATGCATTCTATACTAGCCAGGGGAATTTTGTGGACATCGCGTGGTCAACCACTCTAATATTAATAGGTCGGGTATGAAATTTGCTTAATCATGACTAACGGGATGACCCAATGGAATGACAATAATTTGCCAGTGTTCACTCACCGCGTCAATCTCGAATAACGATCGCCAACGAAATTGGGACCATTGTTAAGTGATGTATTATCGATAAAAAATATTAATCATTGCGCCTCCATTTATTTATTTTTCTAAATACGTTCCTAATAATATCGAACCTCTTTTAACAATGGTTGCATTTCTGTCAGGCTTGGAACATATAATCGTTTGAAAAATAAAAAAAAGAAAAAAGCAAATAGGGTCCTCACGACTAAGGGACGAATTTATCGCTGAATTTTTCCAGGATTTCCCAGGACAACGCTTAAATTTTTGTCCCCGCAATACATAAACCGTACGCGCGGGATGAACCCGTCTGCTGCTTGTGTCAGCTGCTGTTAGGACCGTAATGAGAGGTGCCATAATGTTAACGGCCGAACGCATACATTCAAGCAATTACGTCGCTCCAACTAATTTCTGTCCCTGGGCAAACTTGAGGAATTCCATGTGGCACGAGTAGAGACGCGCGGGCGTGTAAGGGATTGCAAACGGGGGGCGGAGGTTGCCGAGGAAGAGGCGGAAGTTACTGCTGACCATTTCGTTGGATCTACCCGCGTTTTCACCGCTCGCTTATACACACGGTCGCGTAGCCCCTCTACACATTGTGCGAGAAGCGTACAAATACAAAAGCGATTCGCCCTTTAGCGAGACGGAGTTACGAATGCAGCCGAGAGGGTTGTTTGTCAAGAGAATTTTCAGCGGTGAGCACGCTGGCCAACGAGTATTACGGGTTGAATTAATTCCTAACAAAAATATGTGAAATATTTTCACGGAGCAGACGAGCGAGCCGCACACACCTCGCACACCTGCATATTATTGCAAAAAGGCCAGGTATATACCGTATACGTATACCGTTTGTTGGCCATTGCCCTACACGCTTTCTGTTTTCCTTTCAGATTGCGCGTCAAGTTTTTCGCGACAAATTGCCTTCGGGCGAGAGACCTATTTCTTCCTCGTACTACGTTCCTGCATTTTTACATCTCAAGACCGATCGTTCTTTTTCAAGCTTACGTTCGCCTTTCACTTTTTTTTCGTTGATTTGTGTCTGGCACAATATTCTGCTAAATATTTATGATAGAAAATCCTGTATTAAAGTGAAATTTATATTGAAATTTAAAAAATTCAGGACTGCATAATCAAAAGGATGTATGGACCGTTTCGATCCATTTTTCACAATTACAACAACGCATATACGTATACGTTATATGTATAATAATATAGGAATCGTTTAATTCTGATATTTTGTTCCATTCATCCATGTGATACCGGATAATCTCGATGCAAATCATAACTGGTTAGTTAAACAATGCCTATTAATCTACGATTTCATGTAATCCGTCACAAACACGAATCTATCCTGTATTCGTAATATTTTATTTTTTTTCTTCTTAAATGCTCGATTATTATTCTCGTTCGAGCATCTAAAACAGAATTCTTACATTCGGGATCTATGTTAAATCTACGTCCCCTGTAAACGTCATTCTTGGCGGTGCTCGTTCACTCGGACCCGGATGCTGCTATTTGCACACACGGTCTCGCGTCGAGAAAGATTCTCCAATTCGAAATTCCTTCTCTGCGCCCAGAATAGCCATTCAAGTTGTCAGGGACGCGTCGCTACTATTCACCAGCCATTCCTTCTCCCCCTCCCCTCTTTTTTTCCCTTTCATCGATTTTTCATTCCTTCCCGACGAGTGAATCAACGACGATTCACCTTTCGATCTCGAAACTCTCGAAAAAAAAAGCTCAGATCACGACGCGAGATCCCTCCCTTCCCCTAATCTTTTTTCTCCTTGTTTCTCCCTCTAATCTCTCTTTTTAAGCGTCGATCGTAATTGACCGTCGCGACGCGTCGTAATTTTCGACCCGTCTAAGCAGGAATTATATGCGTCGAACCACCGCGGAGCATCAAGGATGGAGTAAGTGTGTGTGTGGGGGTGGCGCAGAGTGGAGGGTTGCGAGCGAGGCGGCCGCGAAAGGGAGCATTTGGCGTAATCGAAGTATCGCGTGCTCCCGGAACGATAATTCCATTACGCGAGAGAACAAACGTACCTACATACGTACGGCGAAGGCAGGACATTTTTATCGGCTACGATCTGATATTTCGTCGATCAGCGTTCGTCGA